CCCATGGGTATGCAAGCATGTACTAGCTCCACCCAATCCCAACAGCCATCAGTGCTTAGCGCACATGCCTAGCACACGTCAGCGAATGCTGACGTGGCCTGAACATGTGCGAACGGCACCCGAAGATGCCAGAATGGGAGATGGAGTGGCTGCGGGAGGTGGGCCGAGATGGGGGGGTCGGAGTGTGAATGAGGAGGAGTGGTGCAGGGTGCCTCGAATGAAATGTCGAGGTCTAGGTATGGGAGAGACACTGCGCAGTGCGCGTGAGTGGGAAGAATAGATCTACAAAATATTAGTATATATAAATCACTCACCTAAAACTTCTGTTAGAATGAAAGGAAACACTGTTAGAAAATCAATCATTGAGAATAGTACACCTAAGTTACACAGACAGTTAAAGTGCTGATGCGCAGGGTTGAGTTTGGTGCGTAAGACGCAAATGGGCCGCAACAACAATTGTATCATTGTTTACTTTCATGAGCTCAGTTTCTTCCTCTATGATCGCGCCTGCTACAAAGTAGCGTCTGCCTTCAAAATTAATGACGGAGCTATACTAGCACTCACAACATCCATGTATGTGCTTCCATGGTAGGCCAATTTGGTGGATGCTGGATATCACACTGATCTTAGACTCGTAGCCAGTCTGACTACGTCCATTTGAAATGGTGAGACGCAGTCAGACTGGTCGGAGTGATTTGGCAGGCGAAGCGAGGAGTTTGAAATTTGGGAGATGCCGGTATGCCGCTTTGGGTAACATTACAACGCAAACTCTTTCGTTCGTACCGTGAAAAGTACAGTATCCTCAAATACAACAGTACATCGCGCCGAAGCACTAATCATTGATCAGGACAATTAAAATGGTTCCATTTCATGCATCATACCCACCCATGATGATGTATAAGCAGCTGTACATTTGGCTTGGATGATCAATCCTTTCAGCCTCGACGAGGAAGGAAACATGGTTGAAACTTAACATAGTGTACAGTGTGAGCGAGAGCAGACGCATCACTTGTGCTATATGACCAGCCTGGCTACACCACTCGAGTATCCGTGGTAGTATACGCCAGGCTGGTCACGAGTCTAACCAGGGACGGGATATTTGTTTCTGGGTCCATTGAACGAGATTTACGGACGGTCACACGTTTTGCAATGGGCAAATCTATGGTACATCGGTATGCGACTTTTACAAGTCAACCCATCGTCTCACCCCCATTCTTAAAATGTTGGTATGGAATCTTGCCTGTGGATTCGCACAATCAGAATTCCAGCTTCTCGCCTTCCGATTTTTACTGGCCTCGGAAGCAGCGCGCCCATGTCGGTAAGGTTTCATTTTTTAACTAGAAAATATTGTTTCTGAATAACTTGCCTTTTCAGATCGGCAGCGGCTTTCTTGGGGACTGCTGGCAGTTGCTGGCGGTTAAATGAATGAGGGAAGGCTGTTAGCATTTACACCTTAGCACCGTTATTGGGTCCCGTCCTGGGACCTATCATAGGCGCCTGGTTAGTAGCCATCTCAGGTTTAATGTCACTATCTGAATTGTGACCAGGATCGCTGAACGGTCGACCTGGAGATGGGTGGTACATGATGCCTTTGCCAACTGAGGACAGTTCTCATTTCTCTGACAGTTTTGGTTTATGTCCATCGTAGATGCAAATCATCGGAGTGTTTTCATTTCAATATGTATTCTTCCACAGATTTGATCTCACATCTCACAGTCTGTCTGACGACGATGTCATCGATCTTTCGGGATGTATACCAGCAGTCGGTAGGCGTCGCCGGCCTCCATTACATTGTACTCGACATAGGCATGGTAGGGGTGGCCCAATTAAATGCGAGAACGATGGACAAGAATTACGTTCATTTCAAAGATAAGAACGGTGGAGTTGCGAAGCCGGAGTTCCGTTATTTTGTTTTATTGCCTCGTTTCTTGAGTGCTCATATAGCATCACCAACAGCTATGATGGTTCTCGAATCTGTGCTACTTCCAATAGGATGTTCGATTGTAGGCTGGAACTTGTGAAGCTTATACTAATTGGATTGCATCAGATATTGTTGGTTTGATCTTCCCGGTATTGTTTTTTTGATAACGATTTCCACAGGGTATTGCGCTTGTAGGAGCAGGCATCATTTTGAGTTTCCAGTGTATCCAGGCATACATTGTTGATTGTTTTACGCTTCATGCTGCTTTCGGTACGTATTACCACCCTCCCATTTCTCATCTCAAAATTTTCGTATTCAGCGCTGGCCGCTGTCTCCTGTTTGCGATCACTAGCAGCCTTTGTATTTCCCCTGTTTGCTCTAGTGATGTACATCACACTTGGGTTTGGGAAGGGCGATACTATCATGGGGGTCGTAGCGATCGTCATAGGCTGTCCTGCGTACGTATTCGTTCCTCTTCGTCACCCTTCATGATAATGATACAGACCCTGTATATTTTGGTATTACGAGCAGATACGGAACAGCAGTCGATATGCGCGGCGATAACGCTAGACAAACGAGCAGCGACCGAAGTAAGGCATGGTCCGCGATAACTCACGAATTATGAATCCTGCTGGCAGCTATACGGTATTCTTGTTCTTGTTGGGCGCAAATAATACAGGGAAAACTCCGCTCTTGACTTCTCCGTTCCTAATTCTAAATCATGAGATTGCAACTGTAACAAACGTAAGAAGGATCATCACACATGAGATACACCAGCGTGCGGCATGCTCGATTTAGCGATTTCGACTGGTAGCATATGGCTGTTGTTGCTAAGGTCTATCGACGGGGGCTCGAGTTTGTTGTCCCGCGAGAGCATAAATAGGATTCACCGACCAATCATATCTAGGGTATAGGTGCAACACAGACCGGCAGAAAAGAGCTTGGCTAAGCTTTCATACGCCTTCACGAGAAATTCTATGAGGTACGCAATGCGCTATTAGGAAAGATTGGGATGTGAACTGCGGCGTCGTTGTCGAAGCAGTGGGAAGAAGTTGTGACTTGAGTACCGCTCAAGATTTTTGAATACATGTTCAAGTTGTGGGGCGTTGACTGTACACCAGTGATTCTAGTTTCCCTCATTTTGAAGTGCGGAGTGGAATCAGCTCCAGTAGTTTAAAGGTATAAACATGATTGGAGTGAGACAGAAATCAGATCGATACAAACGACTTGCAATACAGAGGACAGATCAACAAAAAAGGCGACAAACTGCCGTTTGTTCTATGTTCCGAACACGCCGTTCACTAAACGCTCTCTCCACGCACTCCCTACACCGTATCCGGGAAATATGTCGCTCGACAGGACCTTACGCTGAATGACGACGCTCGGAACGACGCTGAAAGCACGTAATCGGCCACTTTCGATAAGCCAACTGAAAGCTTGATCAAGAGCTCGGGAATACGCGAACGGTGGGTAGCGAAGATGCTGCAAAAGACGCCGAGCACCGGACAGGGAAAGTGCGTAAGCATGAGTACAACGTGGAGAGTAAGATGGGTGTATGTGTGACCGTGTTGGCAGGTCATATAACGGAGACATGACCTGAAACGATGGAAGTGCAGAGTAGAAGGATTCATTTGACCAGCAGTGACCTGAGGAACACAATACAGCATCCATTGCGAACAACGTAGCACTGGCGGCTTACCCAGAAAAACCATGTCCCAGCCATGTGGGAGAGAGGGCCAGATATGACGCATTCTTATCTCGATGTCCCTTTCCATATCGATATCGTCTTCCAAGAAAACCGCGACATCCTCAGGAGTGGTATTCACTCTACCGATGAACTGGCGAATAGCAGAGACATGGGAATACCAGCATGAGATCTTTGGCGCAGTGAGGATCATCCAGTCCGGAAGGCTAGGTTTGAAAGGCGGTACTGAGTTATCTTGAGTTGCACACGTGACATTTGGATGGTGCGAAACACTAAGAGAGGACAAGGTGGTATGTCTGCTATTTTGAGTGTCCACAGAGGTCCAGAGGTCGGAACCAGAAGCTCCAAAGTACTCTGTGGAAGAAGCAATAGCGTTGATATCAGCAGGCCAACGGAAGATTGATCCCAAGTCGTCCAAGGGTCCTTTGGAGGGCTGCAGCGAACGCTGAGAGACGACCTGCTCGAAAATATGACCAATAGTGATATCTGAAGGGTCGAGTGCGTCAACAACCGTCCAATTGATTTCTTTGGATGCTTGCAAATGTCCCATCTGTTTTCGTCGGTCTTGTCGCCAGGGCAGAGATATGAGATATACCTCAGAAGCGATACCCAGCTGCGTCGATGAGGGGTAGAAGAACGTTGTGAAGTTCTTGGTAGAACATGAAACCTTGCTGTAATCTCCTTCTTTCCAATGCACACGAGAATGGACGAAGGATGGCAACGAGCTCAGTTGCGGAGAGACGACTCGGAGCACAGGGATCCACGACCATAAAACTAGAATAACACCCAGAACGAGGTATACATATCTCGCAATACCCACTCGAGACACGAAAAGGTTGGTAACCATGGTTATGGGGTAACGCACAAAGCCGTTGGGTATTAGCAGACAGTCACGTGAGGGCGTGTGCAAAAGTAACGATTACGTAGGTAGCGTGTCCTGTTCCTGGTTTAAATCTACACCTCATATCAAAAACTGGCTCAGCTCTCCGAGCTTGCCAAAATAAGCAGGAAAGTGTAGCATTTCTTTTGGCATGCATTCTGCACTAATTCTCAGTACTCGGTCTCATTGCAATCGACTCCCTCGCACAGACTCGTCTGGGCACATCACATGCGACAGTATCATATTACGAGAACTCCTTCGGTTCTTTGTCCCCCCTATTAGGCTGTGCCGTCCATCCTGCAAATAATACAGGGTTGAATTTGACGTTTATAATTGCCCAGCCTTGAAATCAACGACAGCATATATATATATAGAAAATCAAGCAGCGCTTCACCTTCGATTATGCCATCTTAGTCCCACCGTGGGGTCTCGATGTCAGTTTTTATCACTGTGTGAGTGATATCCTCAACTTTAAACTTCGTGCGCGCGGCTGCCAATTTTTATGTCTCCCTAGCGGAAATTTTATCTTAGGTTCCCCATATAACCTTTGCATCTCCCCTGCCCGTCCCTTGCGGCCATTCACTCGTTGTCTCCAACATCTTCCGATAGGGCACAACCTGAACGCTCGAACATCTATTTCGTCTTAACCACCCTTCTTTGGTGAACTATTTTTCAGCCATGTCATCCTACACCTCGCAGACAAATCTCTCCATAGAAAGATTTCGCCTTGATGGAATGATGCTCTTGTGTGTGTGCTACGGTATGTTCTCGGTTGACATGCGATGCCCCAGAAGTTGACTCATGTATCGCAATAGGCATATTTTTTATCCTTACAGTGCAAGCCTGGATTGCTCTCATGCAACGGCCTCGATACGGGGGGAAAATAGCAGATCATCGTCACGTACTTCTTTTCTACGTCTTTATTACGTTCGTATTGGGATCGATAAGCTTTGGTATAAACGCAAGGTATACGGAGATGATCTGGATTGATCTTCGTAATGCGCCTGGTGGCCCGCTCGCACTAATTGAGAACTACATGAGTTATCGTATCAACTTTGTAGCGCTTGCCAGGTGAGTGTCCTTGTCCATCCACCTCCGGATCTCTAATATCGGTGCCCCATCTAGTGGTCACCTCCAGGAGTGGTTCATGCAAGCTCTGCTCGTGAGCCAATTAGTTCCCCAGATCGTGAGCTACAAACCTCATGCTTAAAAATCTTAGCTCCACCGATGTTTTTTGATATGGAATTGGTCAAGATGGGTGGTGGTCCCAATGATCTTACTCTATGTTACTATGATCGGTACAATCTATCATTCACCAAGCGACACCCATCGCTGACATCTTGCGCAGCATTCTCCATTATCGTCCTGGTCCAAGCGGGCAGTGGTGTCAGATTTTACAACATTACCATGGAGATTGCCTACCTCTGTGTCGAAGTAGGGCTCACCGTGATCTATACCGTTCTGGTGATAAATCGCTTGTTCGCCATGCGAGGGCGTATGCGGCAGGTCATGGCCCAGTATGATTCAAGCACATACAATACCATCGCCCTCATGGTTATCGAGTCCGCAGCACCATACACTGTCTTCGCTATTGTTTTTATAGTTGCCTTCGCTATGTATTCTACCGGTCTCACCACTCTATGTTTCCTGTCTATCGGCAAAATACAGGTAAGCAAACAAATTCTGGTCAACTACGGCTCTGATGCTAGCTATTCCAGGGCATTGCCCAGTTGTTCATCATCATTCGTGTTGCACAGGGGCGGGCAGTCACACGCGAGTGGTCGACCCGAACTCCCGCAATACATACAACCTTAGCATTCTCAGGGACTGTATCCGACTGCACAGAGGGGACCGACAATGAACGAATAGGAAAGCCAGAGCAGACCGTTCAGTTGCATGCTGATTCAGAGCAGGCGATAGAAGTTACTGTGTCTGCGGTGACGTGACAATTGTTGATCTTTGAAGCAGCGATAGCATGGGACAGATACCGGTATTCATTGCAGAAATGAGAAGTTTCCTCTATACTCCACAACATCGTGATCATACACATCGGACCAACCTCCAACTATCACAGTTATAGTCCCCCCCAGCTCTGTGCACGCTTCGCCCTAGTATATATAGAGCTCATACAACTCATGAACAGTATATAGCCTGTTATAGTAGATATGGTGTACTACTTATATATGGTTGGCATCCCGACTTGCCGCCCTTCTGGCCATCCTTATCCTTATCCCTTCATGATACGCGCATTCCATCATTTGCATTCATGTGAAACTTGTTAGATAGCCTGGTTCGGGTGGATAACCGGTAGGTTACCGGTCAATGTAGCCGCCTTTGAATCCAACAAGACCAAACGACCACCATTTACCGAAGTAGTATTGCATCTGCTATCAACGCTGCTTGCGACGCATCTCCAGAGTGTTTGTTGCATAGCAATGGACTTGGATGAAACCGACTCACTGTCTCAGCTCTCTGACCAATTTCCTGGCTATGAAAAGTTCATCTCACATATCACGAGTGTCACATCAACCTTCGTCCTCCCATTCTTGTACATTACCGACCGCCGCAATCCCCGCATCACTGCCTCACTGCTCAATCAGATTTGCTGCAACAGCGGAGACTGTTCTCCTACACATTTTGCGCACATAAACGCGACCGCTTGCTTTACAGCACGGTTGTTGTATGATACCATACTCAACGCACTGGCAAAATGGGAAGTGGCCTGGGAGAATGGTTGTCAAAATTGGCCTGGTGAGGATGGGAAAAGATACAACGACAGTATCGATAGCTTTTTACATGGACTCCGGAATCTACGCAACAAATCCTGGGAAGGAAAGGCTAAAGGAAATGGTAGAATTGTAGATGAGGAACCGAACATGGTGCTCCTCATCGAGAGGGCTGAAAGGCTGAAGGACAACCTCCCGGACCTTATCGTTCCTCTCACACGTCTCGCAGAATTGGTGAGTGGTCTGATCTCATTTTTGCCAAACCGTGCGTCTCACATCCCAAGGGCAAATATTGACTGACAATATGTGCTTGCAGTCACAGGTGAAGATAACGACCATATTTCTATCCTCTGTGCGATGGGAGGACATCAAGCCACCTCTTGGCGCATCCCCAGATCCTTACTTCATCGATGTTGGTCCTCCAAGCAAACAAGGTAAAGTATCCAATCATGCGTATCCAATTAGTATGATCTCAGGGTCATTGGCGTCTTTTCAGATACAATTGACAGCCTTCTTTTTGAATTCATTTCTATGCCTACAACGCAGCCAAGTGCAGGCACACAAGATAGGACATACCATCCATCGCTGCTGCCATTGTATGAACAATATGTGGAACACGTCTACAATGTTTGCTCTCTCTACACAACCGACATCCGAGAACTGCAGTATATTGCTGCTGCACGGTGGCCTGGGTTTGTTAAGCCTGTGCTACAGGAGCAAAGCGAAGTTAATGGGGATGGGGACCCAGATCCAGACGGAACACGTAATGAACTGACACTCCCTGCTTCCGACGGCCGCATGAGACTGCTCAAGTTCTTCACCCCTTCTCTGACGGCGGCACTCGATGTACTCTATCCACGCTTGACCAATGCTACGGACTGGGCGTTATCCAATGACCCTGACATGCAAGCGCCAGAGGAGGCACAACGTCAAATAAACACGGAAGGGCGCATCACTGTTGACCACCTACCGCGGATGTCCAAGTTCATCTTACTCGCAGCGTTCCTGGCTTCGACGAATCCTGCCAAGAGTGACGTGCGAATGTTTGGTCGCGGAGCAGATAAACAGAAAAGGCGACGTCGGAAATCTGCCTCGCCAAAGAAAGCTGGGGCGCAGACAACTGTTGCAAAGGTATTTCCATGTTTATTTCACACTGTATGTAATTCAAAAGCAAATCAAAGATTACACAAAGATTACTTGGCCCTGTAGTATTTCCACTGGATAGACTTCTCGCAATTCTTGGTGCCCTCCTAGAGGAGAATGATGTTGAGAACCGGCCTCACGAACCTTGCTTTGAACTTCCAGGGGAGCACACCGACATGGAATTGGGGCGAGTGCATATTTACGCTGCTGTAAGTGCCACACCTGATCCCGTGATAATCTTGTCTGACCCTACATTCCCAAGATTACTGAGCTTACGTCTATGCGTGCTCTACATCGCACGACTGCTGTCGAGAAACTAGAAGGACCGCCTATGTATAAATGTGGGATTTCATTTGGGGTGGCAGGGGCACTTGCCAAGGACCTGCAGGTACCACTGAATGATCTTATGTGGGATCCGGTGTAGTTTTTCGATAATATGGCCACTGCGCATTATTCGTATATATTATAGTGTGTGCCACACCAAGCATTTACCTTGTGGGAGTCATCAGCTAACGGTGCGATTTCCTGTATTGGTGATGCTGGCACAAATATAAGTTCACCGAGCCTCTGAGCCTGGCTGCATAGCTGGGGACGGCCCGGCCGGATAACTCACCTCAGTTTGGGCAGGTTTTCACTGAATCTCGGGGATAAGCTATAACTCATATGTGCTATCAGCATTGCTTGCGAGTAACAGAATATGTACTTGGTAAGTAATATTACATAAGTACTGTACTACAGATATGATATAGTACTTACCTCGCGGCCCCCCTCAACTTACCATGTGGGAAGATTTAATCTCTCTAGAATCCGGAGCCGAATTACAACCACCAATCAGCTGACACTAGTGCTATCGCTGAAATCCAGTCACAACCGCCGGTGCGAAAATCCTCAAGCCCGTATCAGACAAACGCTCTTCTCCAACAGTCCAACTCCTGCATATCTATGACGAGGCCCACAGAGTTCGTCTCTGAACCTGCGGCATTCCCTTTACAATTACTCAACCCAAAGCCGGCGCTCAAGAATTCTGCCAACCTCAGGCTCGGTAGTGAGGTCACTGACAAACAGGTTGACGACCATCATGATGTGCAACGCTCAGCTCGAGTAAGTTTTCTGTGTAACAATGCCTTATAAATATCATGTTTATGAAGTCGAACGGAGCTCCCAGCTTTTGCATTCGCTGTACGTCTGCCTTCCGCGCATTATGCGATCATCCTTGAATTTTGAAATGAAACATCCTACTGCACAGACTCGGGATTCCATGGATGATAGTGCGGACTTTGACGACCCGAACCTCGACCCTTCACAAGGCCCAGAATTTGACGACGAGTCACCCTATCCAGAAGTTCGGTCCGCTGTCGCAAACACAGATGATCCGTCCATACATGTGACAACGCTTCGTACATGGGTTTTAGGCTTGGCCTGGGCAATTATTATGCCTGGTGTCAATCAGTTTTTCTCCCTCCGCTATCCCAGCGTGCCCATCACTGGCATAGTTGCTCAGCTACTCTCGTTTCCAATAGGCCGCTTCTGTGCTGCTTATATTCCTCGAAAAACAATCTTTGGGATTTCACTAAATCCTGGTCCCTTCACTATCAAGGAGCATGTGCTGATAACAGTGAGTCCTCTCTTTACAACCCTGTTAGCCTAGTTTTATCATCACCTGCCCACGATAGATCATGGCTTCGGTAGGCGCATCATCTGCTTACGCAGTAAGTCCTTCCCGAAGTGTCACAAAGCATACATTCAAAACACCAAAATCAGACAGACATTGTCGCTGTGCAAAGAGTTTTTTATAATCAGAAATTCGATTTCGGTTGTTCGTCTTCCACACCACCTTATCAAGATCAAACGTATGCTCATGAACTGTTCCTCACCAGATCAGTGGTTTTTGGTGATGTCATCACAACTCATTGGCTTCTCCACCGGGGGAATCACACGACGGTTTCTTGTGTCGCCTCCAAGCATGATCTGGCCCGTGACTCTAGTCAGTTGCGCACTCTTCAATACTCTTCACTCCGAACAGTATGCGGGCATTGGGCGATTAGGCGGCTTAAGCCGAGGACGCTTCTTCGTCTATGTTTTCACAAGCGCATTCTTGTGGTGTATGAATTTCACAATCCCCATTCTCGTCTAATCTAACTTTTTGATGCACCAGACTTTATCCCTGGTTACCTATGTAAGGCATATTTCTTATAGCGACTTTGTTTTGTCAAATTTTTTTGCAGTCCTGTCCCTTTCGTGGTTCTCTTGGGTTACATGGATTTGGCCTCACGATCCTGGTGAGTCTCCAGATACCAATCTATGGTCCGTCCCTCACGCAGAACCCCTAGTCGTCTCACAGCTCTTTGGGTACGTCTTTTTGTTCTCTAAAGAAGTATCACCATGCGCTGACAAATCTAGCTACGTCCACGGTATGGTATGTTAATGTTTACTTGGTCCCTGTCATGATTTGAGAGTTTTGAATCAGGGAATGTCCGTGATAACATTTGACTGGGCCCAAATTGCGTATGCACTTGGTTGTTCCTACTTTATTGTCCTTCTAAGCCTGGTTGTCCAGATACAATGGGTCACCACTAGCCATGCCTTGTGAGCCTCCTGCTATCTCTTCAATGCTCAGTCTAACTTTGATCAACATCAGGGTGGGCAACGGCGAACGTTATCGTTGGCTTTGTAATTTTCTATTGTGAGTCCAAGGTATTTATTTAAACTGAGTATTGAACCATTATTCTAGGGATAGTAACACCTATATTATACGTCAGTGATCCATGAAGATTTCACGACTGAGGATTTGACACCTTGGTAGTTTCAAAATACCTGGTATTCTCTTTACATGCCGTTCGTCTGATCACTGTCTCTCTGTATGACGTCAGCTCAATCTCTGTTAGTATTTCGTCAAGGACCTCCTTCGACAACACACAGCACGCATACAACGTTACCCGGATATTGACTCCAGAAGACACTTTCAACGCGACAGCATACAAGGAGTACAGTCCAATATTTATTCCGTAAGTGATCACACTCTCAGCTCTGATGATATACTCACTTCGATAACAGAACAGCGTTCGTGATGTCTTATGGGTACGTTCACTAATTGGCGATCGATTTTGTCTTCTGTTGAGAAACCCCATTTTCATTAGTCTCTCGTTTGCCTCTATCACTGGTAAGGAAGTATGCATTACAGCTATGATACAGATTGACAGAAATATCTTAGCAACTATCGTTCATTGCTTTATCCATTTTCGGAAGCAAATTTGGTATCAAGCGCGACGATCACTAAGGGAACAGGCAGACATTCATGCTCGCCTTATGAGTCGATACCCACAAGTTCCTGATTGGTATGACAAAAAAAATATCCCCATAGGGGTCCTGACTCAATGCAATTCCCCACCCAGGTGGTACTTATCCCTATTCACTCTCATGTTTGCATTGGGTGTCGTCAGCATCGAGATTTGGCCTACAGAGATGCCGGTTTGGGCTTTTGTCGTAGCGCTCTTAATTGGTGAGTCTTCGAAATATCTGCGTGAACGTGTTATTTAAACGTCTACATGCCCTTTAGCATTGACCTATGTGATTCCATGCGGTATGATACAGGCAATCACCAATCAACAAATTGGGTTGAAGTGCGTCACATGATCATGGATGGAATCTTATCATAACTCAAACATACCCTAGCGTGATCACAGAGCTGATCATTGGGCAAGTTCACGCTAGGACCGTGACCTCAATCTATCTGACAGCTTACTATCCAGATATTCGCTACCTGGAAAACCAGTAGCAATGATGCTGTTTAAGACTTTCGGCTATATCGTGTGTCGCATATTCTCCAGCCTTTTGGTGTATTAACTCTCGTAGTCTATGGCTCAAGCCTTGACATTTACGTCCGACCTCAAACTTGGTCATTACATGAAAATTCCTCCTCGAAAAATGTTCTGGTGTCAGATTGTGGCTGCGATAGTCGCTGGAACCGCGCAACTGGGTGTTCAATCGTGGATGTTCTCTAACATACCGTAAGCGTTAACGTTGTTGATCATTTGGTGGGGCTGAGTGCCTTGTAGAGACATGTGTAGTCCCACTCAAAAAGACGGGTATGTCCGAATGTTTAGTATGGCATCTATGCTCAACATCATGTAGTTTCACCTGTCCTAACGTGGAGGTATTTGGCACTGCATCCATCATCTGGGGTGCGTTTATGAGTTTAGTAATCCGAGAGAAAGATGAATTCACTCCAACGAACAGGTGTGATCGGCCCAGAACGTTTGTTTAGTTCTGGGCAATTATATCAGTAAGTTGTCACTTTACCTTCAATCTTATTAGGGCTCAATGTCCTCTTGCAGCTGTACGTTCCCGTTAATAACTTAACAGTAGCAACGTTACAAACATACTTCTAGCCGTGTTGGTGTTCTTCATTATCGGAGCAGTCAGCCCTGTCGTGGGTTGGCTGGCGATGAAGCGGTATCCAAACAGCTTAATACGATACGTGAAGTGGGTCATTATCTTGATCGCAATTTCATAACTGATTAACACTCTGACTAGTTTGTAAGTCCATAGTATCATCTCATTCCTCCGGACAGCATTGCATCATACACCATAGTCCGCTTATATTTAACGGTACCTACAAGATTCCCCCTGCTTCTGCGCTCAATTATGTACCGTGGGCGTACGTGCGCAGCGCTTGGCATGTGATGCATTGACTTACTGATGTACCACAGGCTTGTAGGTTTCATCTTTCAGTATGTAATACGAAGGTTTGTTTCTCGTTTGTAAACCTTTGCAGCATTTCCTGATGTAGTCGGCAGGCGCAATTTTGCATGGTGGACGAAATACAATTGTAAGTGGATTAATGGCAGTATTCGCGCTGTATTTCACGAGAGCTACGCAGATGTCTTGTCGGCAGCCCTGGATGCTGGGCTAGCTGTTTCTATAATCTTCATATTTTTCGTGTAAGTCCGCTTAATCACAGTTTTAGCTGTCATTCATCGAGGTGCACAGATTGCAATATCCGGCAAATGGGTCGGTAAGTAAAAGGTTGCCACACTTACTGACAAGCGTTCATACAATTCCACTAGATTGGGGAGGGCTTGCAACACTGGTGGGGCAACACCGTAGGCTCTCCATTGAACTACCAGCTCAAACGACTAATGCGTTTACCCATCAAGGTATATTATGAAACTGCTGATGGTATGGGCACCCCAGTTCGCCAGCTACACGGCTCAGAGACATTCGGGTACGTTGACTTACATGATGATCACTTCAGTTGTTGACGAGCAAAATCAGTCCTAGTATAGGATCTTGGTAGTCACCGTATATTCTGTGCTTTAAATGTAGATTCATCTTGTTGTATTGATTGGTATAGTATGGACTTGTCCTGCGTTCCCGCATAATGACACACATCGTTGCAACTATCGTTTCGGTGGGCGAATGGTTTATGCGAAAGTATCATGAACGTTCATCATTAATTTGTCATGAGATGCGTCAATGTAGATCGTCTGCGGCAAGCGACCGGAATTCGGGCACATCTAGTCGGTCTTCACTTTGCCAACCGCCGCAGAATCATTGGGGGTGCCACCGAGGCGGTTTCCAACCTTGACTTTCTGCCCAGCTTTGAGGGTGAACTCGAACGTCTTTGGGGCTTCGAAAACCAATACGATGGTGCTTCCCAAGCAAAATCCGCCCATCTCTTCACCTGCGGTCAACGGTTGACCGTTGAGGATAGGAGATGCCGCTGAGTAGACGGCCTCGTTATAAGTCCCGGGAGGAGGAGGTCTGCCTCGGACGTTGGTGCGAAGAGCCTTTAAATACGACATCAGCATGAAGTACACTTCTATACCAATGGAATGATACATACGGTATCAAAGTTGATCTTGATGCTGCCTACGTTAGTGGCGCCAACGGGGATCATACCAAAGAATCCAAATTTCCATCGACCGAGAAGGGCGACTCTTTCATTCAGGACGAAGAGGTTTTGCAATCGCTTTGCCATCCATGGGGAAACAGAGAAGAGTTCGCCTTGAAGCCACATGCCGTCAGCAGCACGCGAAGCATGTACATGAGGACTTACCAACGAAATGGCGCCGTTTCTCCACTACCCATGCGGTGGGGCTGTGGAATCGGTGATAATCGCCCGGAGCGAGGTAAATGACGGTGAAGTAAAGTGCATTGCCTTCTTTAACGCTTGTGCCCGAAGTACTTCTCTTCCGCTCGAGCGACGGTCTGACGCCCATTTCGCGAGCGACGGAGGCATCATGCGCGATAGTTTCTTGGAGGGATCCTGGATGCTCCACAGACGCGTCAACCTGCTCGCCGAACTTCTTCGGCACGGAAGACGTTTCTACCTCGGAGGCGGACTGAGTTCTTGTGATTGGAGGTGTCACGGTACCCGGAGTGGAAGGTGTGGATGCACCCAGGAGTTGGTCTAAGCTATACTCGATACCGTTCACGTTAGCAAATTCTTGGTCCGTCACGTGTGACATTTCTCGGTCTCGGAATTCGATTACCGTCGAAGTTGGGCTTTCTGGATCTGAACGATCCACGCCGAGGAGAGCATCCAATGAGTAGGTGATCCCCTTGACCTGCTCCACTCGAAGATTCTCAATAGTTCCGAGATGTAAAACGGTGCCGTCGGCGGGGCTGACCTATAACATAGTTAAGATAGAAGTTTATTAACAGAGATAAATTCTTACGAGGATAGCGTTGTCTATGGGCCTAGCACCAGGTTTGAGCTTTCGGTAGAAAAATTGACCCAGGCTGGTGTATTGCGTTAGATCGTCAGGGTCGATTTCCTCAAGGTTGCAGCCAAAAACATATGCATAGAGCCGGAAGCCATAGGGCCGTATCCAAACAGGAAGTTCAAGTGAGTTCACGTAGCCCCAGACGCGCGACATGTTTCGGAGAGGAAGGGCGCCTAATACGTGGACCTGCACGAGACCAGTTTGACAAACGTAGTACGATAAATAATCAGTGATACGCACATGCCATGGACCTTTGAGCTTAATGACTTCACGACCTTCATCATCGACATGAACCTCATTCTCTAAACGTGCTACTTTCTTGCGGTATTGGATGACGACAAGGAGAATGGCCCCGACGGCCAAGGGAAGCGGGTACCATTTTGTTGGAGTTTTCGTCCATGCAAGCATAAGACGTCCTAAATTCGGCGAGGTCAGAAGTGCACATACTCTCTTATCCACGAAAAGGCCTACTGTAGAGCGGAACGCCATGCGAGCTTGGCAGCGGTGGCGGCGGTGGTGTAGTCTCTGGAGGAATACCGCTTCTGGTTGAAATCGATCGTCTCAATGCGCCCCGCTTGAGACAACGCACAGTGCTTGAGAGACTGATTCTACGCTTGACAAAGACGCGTGAAAAAAGAGCAGAAGAGCTGTTCGCAGTAGACGTAATAGCATGAGACGCCGCCTGAAGGGGCCTCTTCCCCTTCACGATGGCTTTATAGAACATTTAATAGGGACACTCAAAAGTTAGGTACGCACTGCGCACTTCGCACAACGCACACGACCCCCTCGTACATGCACCCCTACTAAAATGGTAACCTTAGATAATCGTCGGACTTTGGACTAAACTTTGCGGCACGCAGCGCCGAACAGTACTAGTTACTTACAAGTTATATGTCTGCTCCTGTCTGCTGCTCTCGCTCGAGCAGACTATACGCCATGTTAAGTTTCAAAAGTATGATTGAGAAGCGTACAATACTTTGGTTAAGGAGCGAACTAAGGATAGTGTTGCCAATGGTTCGGCTATAATTGGTGAACCGGCACAACTGAGCCGAATTTTAGCTGAGTCGAGCTGACTAGACGGCTTACACCACCAATCGTCAATTTCACACGTTGAATATTTGACGAAAAATAATTTGAATGTGTAGTATCAATATAAAACCTATACATATACAGGGTCTGGTACGTACTGATAATTTTTTAATTTCTGTATATCTTCTGGGACAATGGTGAGGTAAGAGGATATAATTACATTACAATCACCGGTCCTGTATATAGTGGACGCCACCCAGACATAGAATCTATATATTGAGTTATCTCATGGCTTCCAAGGTCTTCATACCACAGTCTGCCTACACCATGACCAGCGGTGATATTCACTAAGACAGACATATTTAATATATGAATTATGCGGCAAGCTTTAGAATAATGACATTAGTACTGCATAGCTATTAGTAGCTGTTGTGCTGGGCCCTACAGCTGCAATCTACAAAATTTCTCCAAGTCCATGGTAGCTTGCTAAATATTATTCCTTACAGCACATTTCAATGGTCTAATGGCTCAGTGGTTTGTGCGCTGTCATAAAAGTGTTCCCTACACAAAGCAAAGCCGAGGGTTTGAATCCTGTTGATTTTTATGCTTTTCAGGTATATACCTATTTGCCAAGGTCTGCACCACAGTTTCAGATATAGCTCATATACTGAGAAAATGTATAGCATGTGTATACAATGAAAATTATGGTATCGGCATTGTGTACGTATAGTTACTATCTTGCCAAAAAAAAACATAGATTCTATGCTTATGTCAATTGGCGGTGTAAGTGATTGGTTGAATTTTGAACCGAAGTTTATGGTTTCCTAAAGCTCAGCTACAGTCGAGTCTCTGGCTAATTCCGATAATGGAAATGGATCGTTTGACGTCGTCCAGCGTCTCCAACATGCTCTATACACCAACAAAATGCTCGTAACAAGTACCACATGAGTGATGGTGAGTGTAGTGACTGCACTTTTTCATTTCTAGGATGCTTATTTCAAGTTTGTTATTGTCAGTCTTGGCCATATCTCCCATATCCAACTACAACAATTTCTCGCGAGCTACCATTAATAGCCAACGGGGCTGCTATAATGTATTCCTACTATTGGGATCCAGAAGAGGACAAGTTACCTTCATCCACACTGTTGAAGTATTACATCTGTGAGTGTGTCTTGCTGCCTCTCTCTCACAGAGCACCCCAAGTTTAACCTCATGCATCATCAGTGCGGCATTCATGCTTGTCCCTGTATGCACTTTCAATTCTAGGATGATTACTTGCTTGATTCATTCTCCAGCTTGCTACTCTCACTCTCTTACTCGTCGCTCTCACTCTTTTGCTTGTTGCTCTCACTCTCTTAGTCATTGCTATCACTCTCTCCGCTATCACTCTCGCTCGGTTGTCGCTATTACTCTCTTGCTTGGTCATCACTATTACTCTCTTGCTTGGTCATCACTATCACACTCTCAGTCGTCACTATCACACTCTCGGTCATTGCTATCACTCTCTCGGTCATTGCTCGTTACTCTCATTCCCTCGGTCATCGGTCATCAAGTGCAAGCCTTGTGATCATAGCTAAGATGTTTCTCCTTGCTGATGTTCCATGTTCAGCATCAATGGAAGATTACAAGCACATGTTTGGAGAGAGGTTCTTTCAAAGTGGACAAGCAAAAGTCTTCTTACTCTCAAATGGTTTGCCCTGACAGATAGAATTCTTGTATCTACTAAGTTGGTTAAATTCAATCCTAATTCTTTGACTGGAGTCTTTGCATTTTAAGTTCATGATGTCTGCATGGGAGGTCGTGGTTTTTGACTCAACAAACTAATGATTCATTTAGGAACATGGAGAAGGATTTTGACGGCATGCTTGTGAGTTTAATCTAGCAGATCACGAGTTGCAGCGTGCTAATTGGCTTCAGACCTTAGAACAGCTGCTCGAATGGAGTGTGTAGTGCCCTATTAGCATTCCAAAGTAGATCGGCTCCCAACAGTGGGGGAAACACGAGTCCCTGAATGGATCAATTACATCAGCGGTGAAGACCTCAACCACCACTCAGTAAGCATATTTCCTCATCATTCTTAAGTCGAAACTCACTGCCCTCACGCAGACCTACTCTGCGCTGTCTTGCCACGTTCGCATCACCCCCTCAAACACTCATCACAGAGCTGCCTGACGACCAGTACTTGATATTGACATCCCCGACTTCAACTCCCATAGTGCTGCCAGCTCTGACGCCACTAACAACAATTGCCGCTGCTCTGAATTCTGCTTCCAAGCCCTGCAGCATACACCAATTTGGCTTCCTCATCTTCGTGTCCCACTCTCTCCCACAAAACTTGGGTGTGTAGTGCAGTCTCTCCTTCACAGTACAGTACACTTTATCATAATGCATGGCCTCATAATGCATAATTTTCATAATGCATCACCTTTGGGTGGGTCCTGTTGTGGGATGCAGGCAATATGCATGCAAAACGCATAATGCATAACGCATAAGCCTCCGGGCTGATTTATGCATTATGAGGAGCCTTGGTAACACATCAGGTCGTGTTCGGATCAGCATTGGTCACTGTCAGCACCTATACTAATGTAGTTTAGACTATCTAAAGTGGATAGTGGTGTCAAAATTTGTCTTTGTTTTCCTCTCGCATGCCCAATAAGACCCGCAAACCGCAGGAGAAGCCGGCTCCCTACAAGCAGTGCTTGCAGACAGTCACAATGAATAGCCCACAATCGAAGAGCTTTTGGACCCTGTTGAAGAGAGGGAAATTGGTGATCATGATTATGAGTTTCCAGGTGGGGACAACAAGATTGTCGAGGAAGTTCAAAGACAAATGGCAATTGAAAGGGGGGATATCATGGAGGTGGATTCAGATAGTGAGGAAGACAAAAACGTCACACCAAAGTACACTTTCACGCAAGTTTTCATGCCGTGCCAGCAACTCAAAGATGCTTGCCTTCAATTTGGTGAACTTGAGCTCTCATTTGATCTCTCAAAATGGCTGCAGGCATTTAGGGCTTGTGTGCACAGAGAGGAATTTCATGGAGCAAAGCAGACAACAATAGATTCGTACTTCGGTAAATAGAAAATGATATGTTCTGTACCGCTCTCAGCTGTCACACTCTTGAGGGAGGTCACATGGCATCACAATGTGTCACATATGTCACACAACTTGGTTATGCATAAGGGGTGATAATGCATAGCCTGGGAGGGGTCCCGATGTTATGCATTATGAAAAAGTGTACTGTATCTTGTTATTTACATATCATGAAATTTTAACTATGAACCAACTTAATTTTTTGGTGTCTGCCTGACTGAGGGAGCACTGAGATGAAGATGCAATATACAAATTATGACTACAAATATTTGACAGGAACATGTATATAGACAGTAGGGTGGTATGCATGAGGTGGGAGTGCAAGAAAAATCCAGGATGAAGTGGAACACTGGAAATCACTGAAGAAAAATATGAAGGCAAGGTAGCGGTAAGAGTCAGCTGGTGGGGAAAGACAAGATGTTGACGACGAACACGAAGGGGATCCGACACTAGATCTTGACGCGGACGTACTGCCTGGTCATGATGTGCTGTTCCAAAAAGATTTGGCTGGCCGCAACGGCATACTTCATGGCAAGGCAGGCACAGATTTGGTGTTAAGGGTTATAGGGAGGATGCAGAGAGGTGGTGCCATTCATGAGCACCAGGGTTGAAAAAAAAGGCAGAGACTGCGAGCTCGATGAGTAGGACAATGAAGACGACAATACATAAAAAAATATTCGTACCTTTCTCGGGCACAGTTTGTGGGGTCCAACCTTTACTAAATAACGTCAGTCAAATGCTAACATGGTTTCTGAAACATAGAGAGCCGATCTATTTCGGAATGCTAACAGGTCACACATCACTCACTCGAATGTAAAAAATCATCTACATTTTTACGTGGCAAGCACTATATTGGTTGGTTCATGACTCAATGATTGGTGGGGCATCTCTGAGTCTCAATTGTGGCATATTTATAGCCTGTAATTCATGCAGCTTCATCTCAACATTACCTTGCATTATATCCTACATCAGAAAACCCACTGCTGAGGGAAGCGATGTAGGGATTCATTTCTGGCTGGGCTTGTAGAGACTGTTTTTACCTTACCTTATGTTGGCACTTTTGTAGCTTACATAATCAAGCAATATTTTCACCAGTTACCAGTATGAGTCTGAGAGATCAGCAAGTTTCTATGATATTTCCTCTCCTCTGAGCCTTAAGCCTAGTCCAGAAACCCTTTAGGGTCAAATAGCAGCTAGGTTCTGCATAGACCCAACATTGTTCAGACTCACTATCTGAATTGTTGTACCTTCAGCGACTTGTAGCAGTGCATAGCACAGTGCTTCTTTTGAAAGGACTATAGCAGCAAGTAGTAGCTAGAAGAACTAAAACCTCCACATTGGCTCTCGTACTTTTGTACATGCCACAACATGTCCGCAATCTTCAGTAAGCGATCATGATTAAGAGTTTATCATGATCTTTGCGGCATGATAAGATGACAGTAGTACTACTCACTAGTGATCATGACTGCTCACCATTCAACTTGAATAAATTTGCCAGCCAGGAAACTTGGGATTGAGGGAAACTAGGGATAGTACAAACTGCTGAAGAAACTACTACTGGTAACTAAGAATAGCATGAAAGGTATCTTTATCTGCAAAGTTATTTGCATAAAACTTGCGCGCCAGCTGCCAACTATTGTTACAGTTCATTGACGGTGGTACTGCTTGACTGAACTTGGGAATAAGTTCGATGACCTGACACACACTGCTCAGAGGCACTATATCTCCTGACAGATCCTGGTTCGATTGAACATGGCGTTGAACTGAAAACATGTTGGTTACAGGAGCTGGAGTAATGAAACAGATGTCGTTGATAGTGGCGAATGATGAATGAGAGAAGTTAAAAAATTTGACATAGAGGAATGGTTGATTGATGTGGGGTGCTTCAGTAATAGGCTGGATGATAGCTTTTACTTGGACAATGAGATACCCTAGGATTCTGAAGTTGAGACATGAATAAGTTATAGAAAAAGCATATACATATGTTTGGACGCTGCTGGGGAAAGAAGTTTGCCACTTTCATGAGTAATCAAGACAGTATCTCCCCTTCCAAACGGCATGGAAGAGCTTGGTGATAGTGCCTGGATGGTCTGAGCAGGACTAATGATACGGCTATCTTGCGTAGAGCACTGCTGCATACAAAATTTTTGCCAAACATGAATGTAATCAAAGGAGAGGGAACAGTTGGAGCGACAGAATCACCTTCCATTGCATTCAAGGTAAGATCTACCAGAGATCAAGTCACCAAGCGCTGGACAGAGATCAGGAATGTGGAAACATTGGGAAGCTTCTTCAATAGATAGGTGAGGAAAATGCAGACGGCAAGTAAGGAGGATGGTGACAGTGTCATCAGAAGAAAAATGAGTGCGATTGTTGGCGAAAAGGGAGGTGATTGGTTTGCCAGCGCCAACATACTGCTCACCAGGCAGAACAGTAGAGATCCAGGTTGCTTCGGGATAATGGAGTGCCATCGTGTTTGCTTCCCTGGACATTTCATAGATCAAGCTCGCACGCTGCGACTTCAGAACTGTGTAAAGCTGGAAGAATTGCAGTTTTTCCTGCCAGTTGAGGAAGCAGCAGCACTGGCCATGGAAATCCCTGTGATTGGACATGTGGTAAGGCCGTTTCACATGGGTGATGTGGCAACTGCTCAGTGATATGGAGCACCCATGGCTCGAGTACTCTGGGCGACATGCTGCATTAACTCTAGCTTGGGGATCTGGAAGTGATTGAGGGGACCGTTGTAGAGACTCATGCCTCTCATGGTGTGATATGGCACCTTTCACTAGGGAGTTCACAGCATGAACTTGTAGTATCACTCTGTGTGCTACCCACAGCTATCCCTATATGAGGCGCAGCTTTCCCGCGCAATGCGCGCACCCTTCCCGCACTTCACGATGTATATGCACGCGTGCTTTCCCGCGCTTGAGCGCCCTATGGTGCCAGCCATCCAGATGCATCCATCCACTGTCCTCCAAGTTCTCCAGTGCGTATATTTCTGTTTCTCTCATTTGCATATTGTTCCACCTTATTTTTATCATGGACCCTTACTTATATATATCTCTACATACCTACTCGGTAGCGCTTCGGCTCCACATGACAGCGCTTAGGCACGCTATATAAGCGCCAGTAGTACATACTAGGAGGGGGGCACTTGACTTTTACCTTACTTTACCCCACTTTACCTAGCACTTACTACCTAGAAAGTCGCAGTAGAACTCTATCTGTTTACACCTCGCACTCTCATCTCATATCTTGCATTATAACATCAATTAAGCTTAGTCTCTCTCATTTCTGCATATCTGCACGCACTTTCCCGCGCTTCGCGCAGCACGCGCGCGCGTTCCCGCGCCTTTGTGCCTTGCGCGCACCTGTGTGCCTTCTCACGCTTCGCTTTAGCGCATACTTCTAGATCTTTGCTGCACTTGCTTCCCCTTTAGGGTCGAACACACTTGTTGTCACAAGTATAGCAGACTAGGCAACGCACGTAGAGTTTCATCATAAACAAAGAGGTTCTGCGCTTGGAATATAAATTCGGTGATAGCACGTAGTGCACATGCAACTTCATTGGGAACAGCACCGATAATCACACCAGGAAGAAGCTTCTCGGGGTCTCAGTGTTCTCGACCAGTAAGCTGCTTCAGCATGGAGATGCCATTCACCTAGTGACACACTCATACATGAGGTTGAAGAACTGACAGTCGATGATCAAGTTCTGCTCCCTCCATAATGTTTATTGACCAGTTGACAGGGTGGTCAAAGAAAAATTTGTGCCACTGATGGAGGCCATCTGGTGTCAAAAGAAGGATGGGCATGCACGGCCCCAATCCTTCCAGTACAGCTCAACAACACCATTCAGATGAAGAGATTGACACATCTTGTAGAAGGATGGGATGTTGCAGGGGTCAGAAATAGTGCATGCCCTTTTGATAGCATCAAGAGTGCAAGAACGAGTTCAAGGAGGATGCAGAAGAGGATCCCCAAATTGGGCAGCAATAGCAAGAGAAATTGGAGAACATTTCGAGGCCGTACATGCGATGAGTAGTTGTTCAGGGTAGTCGGCTATCCAGGCTACTAAAGGTGTGTGAATCATACGTAAATCTCCTCTTGGGTCTGACATAGGGCATCCATCGCGAGCAGCAAGCTTCAAATTATGCATGACAATTGAAATTGCGAAATGATAAACTCGTGTAGATAAAATTGCTTGGACAGGTTGTGAGACATTGAGAAACTTTGGTATTGGCAGGTAAGCGACCAAAGCGAATGCGTGCAATGTTGCCTTCATGCAAACACCTGCATGGATATTGGCGAGCAAGATTAGTAGGGGGTGCATCTCCTTGTTTCCAGTCCCAATGGTAAGAGGTGTTTTGTCCGAAGCACCAATCACACCAATGAATGAATGACCAGGAGGAAGCTGATCCTAACAATTACTACAGTGAGCCTAAGTTCCCACCATTGGTGACACCACCTACCTGTATCTCCCATGCAAGATCAGCGCTCATAAATTCTCCATAAGCTCGTTGATTGTCTGGGCCTTCAAATTCCCAGTATGGCCAGAAATCCATACAAGGCGCAAAAACTGAGTTGGCGAATAGATGCTTTACGACCTTGAGACCATCCCTCCAATAGAGCATTAAGGGCACTTTTGTCTTATAGGAACCCACTTGGATTTTTTGGTGGTACCATAGAGGTACTTCAGGTAGTCCTTTGATCCAAATGCGCAGATCCTTCGATGTGCTGAAAGAAGGTGGATTATTGCCAGTCTGTATCTATGATTAAAATACTGATGCAGCATGAATTATTGTCAGGCAACTTACGTGCTCGAGGTGGAGGAAAACATCAACTTCTTTTTGCGATAATGCCCCCACTGAAAGCCAATATCCCAGGTTGAATTTGGCTTTTGACGCAAAGGGATAGTAGAGGTTCTCTGTGTGATGGATAGCAGCATGTACATTGTGGTCCATTTTCTGAAGATGGTTCTCCCCTACAGAGTAGGTGATTGGCACATTTGGGTGATAATCCCTCGATGTGCCAGGACATGGGCCTGCAGAGGGGTCGACAGATGTGAGTGGGGTGTCATGGTCTAGCTCAAGTGTACTGGGATATTGCTCAGGATGTGGTGCAGATGAAATGGGCAGGTTATTGAATGATGCATTATCATCTTCCACATCATCCAAAGGATCATATTCTTCATATTCTTCATAGACTAGGTGCATAGTAGTAGAATTTAACCTCCATTAATCAAGTGAGATACATGTACCATTGTGTGCGAGGAATGATAGCTAGATGAGAAGGGGTGAAAGGGGAAGAAAGGGTGAAGTGGGGTAAAACTCAAATAGACCTCTGGATGCGAGTATATGATTTGGCCCAAGGGGATTGCTACTGAGAATGATTCCTCTATGTAAAAAGTAGAGAGAAATCACTGAAACTAATAAGAGTAGTTGAGAATGGATGGAATGTGAATGCGAGCGTGAGCAAGCCACCATTGACACGGCATGAAGTGAGGTTGAGCGGCCGAAGATACATTAATGTGCGATAAAGCGCAGCTGTGCGGAAAGATATGCGGGCAGCCGCGAAGTGTTACAACGAAGCGGCCGAGCGGCAAAGTGACAAGGACGGCAGATTTGTAAGTAGCGCAAAGACTACTGAAGCAAGGAACTGATGGAATAATGTGAAAGGCCGATAGATACGTGTGGCAGTTGATACAAAGTTTAGACTTTAGGTTTGGACAGTAATGTGTGCAAGTGGATAATAGATTCTGTATGGGAGGTCTGAGATACATGAAATTTGTAAGTACAAGTATATATGAGGATGCGCTGAAGTGCTGTTCAGAGCCGAGTAGGTAGCGGCTGTAGGTAATAAGGGTCCATGACGAAAGTAATAGTGATATAAATGAATTAGCATCAGAAATATGGTCAGTCTATTCCAAAACAAGTGAAATACACACCGATAGACCAGCGGAGGACATGGATAGGACAGGATAAGGACACACGACGGAGCCGAGTAAAAGCCGTTATGGCCTGATACACATGCGCGAGCCGCGGCCGTCGGCTGATAGCAGAAAAGATGCATGCCGCATTAGCATTAGCGCGTGCAATGCGAGGACCTATGGGACGACGCAAAACTAGCCTTTATGAGGCCACAAGGACTATAAGTCCTACATCACATACAAACTTTGAATTCTGACTGTCCCCAGTCAGCCTCTATAGGACGGAGGGACTTAGCGAAATTTCGATGAGATAAGTCATGTGACCGTGTGCATTTCGCGCCGTATGTGGAGAACAAAATGAACCGCGGGTTGTGGACCTTAGATTGTGGGAACTGTGGACTTCTTGATGTATTAAGACACATCATGTGTTGCGCTTCTTCTTCCTCATCTTCATCATTAACCCCTGCCATTCCACAATGTCTCACTTCAACCCTGCCATGTTGACTGCCTCTCCGGAGCCTGAGACTCCTCCGTCGCCTACTCATGACCAACTGATGATGGATGACCCTGTCCCAGAGGAATCACCCGCCGATCACATCAATCATGCATGGAGCCTTATCTGTGAGACTCTGCATTCATGTGCACTGACTGTGCCTGATGCAAAGGAGGAACTCCTGGAGGACCAGGAGATTTGGATGCGCGATTGGTGCGCTGTTTTGGTGAGTGTTTCTTCTTTATCTGAATGTTTGCCTTTTGTGTACTGACGTCACTGACAGGAACAAATGAATGAGTGCTTCGGCTGCATGCAGGATGCGCAGGTCGAATTGACATTGGATGAGCAAGGCACTGAAGCTCTGGAGGACGGGAAGAAGGAGTACCATAAGTTAGATAAGTTGGTGAAGGAGAGGAAGGTGAAGGTATCCGAGTCGCTGTGCGAGAAATCTGTCGCGCCCACTAACGATGCGAAGGCACCGGTGCCCACTGAGAAAGAGGCATCGGTTGCTGATACTTGGAAGGAAGTCACTGACATGGGTGTGCCGGTGAGTGCTTTATGTGTATTGCTCTTCTTGTTCAGCTGCTAACTAACTTCTGACCTTGTTTTAGCGATTTGGCGGCCGCATGTCTACCACCAGAGAGAAGTGCATGTGCTGCCAGAAGTGTCTTGGACTATGTGACAGATTGTCTGGTGTCCAATGCTCATACTGCGTCGGCATCAAGCAAGGATGTTCATTCTCAAGTGAGTGCTTTCGTCTTCTGGTATCATTTGTGATGGCCAACTAATTGTGCATTTTTATTTAGAGAAAACTGAGGCCAAGACCAAGCCGCAGGCCAGGACACGTGCTGTGCTGCCGCACGGTGCTGCTCCTTCAAAGAAGGTGTGCACAGAATCTATGAGTTCAGCTCAGCCGACCGTCCCCATCACCGCTAATGACGGCAATACTTCGGGTGAGGAGTCGGAAGTGGAGATGCAGGTGGAGATTCAGGACAGATCGGGTGAGAAGGGGGCAGAAGATGTTGCAGGTGAGGAGAACTTTGTTCGCTGTAGGTTTACAACTCAGTGTGGTGCTATAAGGCTCCAAACCGATATCTTTATGTTGTAGGTCATCCAACACCTAGTCTGCTATACTTGTGGAACAAGTGCGTTTGACCCTAAAGGGGAAGCTAGTGCAGCAAAGGTCTAGAAAATGAGTGCCGAAGGTGCTGCTTAGCAGCTGATGCGAAGCGTGGAAAAGCGGCGGGTGCGTGCAGGGGAACAAAGCGGCAGCTGATAGCCGAGGGCACAGGAAAATGCAGCTGTGAAGCGGCTGCAGTGCGGGTGGTTTGTATGATAATAGAGATGATAGATAATGGAAATAGACGTAAAGCAGAATGGTAACGGACGCGGTGCGGATGGTAAACGGATATGGATAGCCAATAGCTACTAACTGTAGGCTAGTGGGAGTTGCTACTCCAACGTCTGGGAAACAAGCTACTGAAGGATATGTACTACTAGTGTTTAAGTATTGCACTAAGCGCTGTCATGTGGAACTGATGTAGAAACAACAATACAGAGAGGAACAAATGATGCTCTTGACTGTATCTGTAAATAGTTGTAAGGTCGCGCGTTGCCTAGTCTGCGTTACTTGAGGAGACAAGTGCATTCGACCCTAAAGGGGAAGCGAGTGCAGCAAAGATCTAGAGGTACGCACTGAAGCGAGGTGCGAGAAAGCGCAGGTGTGCGCAAGGCACGAAGGTGCGGGAATGTGCATGCGTATTGCGCAAAGCGCAGGAAAGTGCGCGCGTGTATGCGGAAATGAGAGACTAAGCTTAAGTGATGATATAAAGCAAGATAAGAGATGTGAGATGCAATGTGCTAATGAATAGATTTCTACTGCGACTTTCTGTTACGCACTCAAATAGATCTGTTATGCGGAGCCCTAAGAGGGGCGTCGTCTGCTAACGTTCGTGACGTAACCGGAAGGGTCCGGTGTAGCGACTGAGACTGGTGACGTCGAGTCGGCAGATATCAGAGACGCGCGTGTCACATGACTTCTAAGACGGATGTCTTCAAAGTCACTGACATTCTCAAAGTAAGGACAGTCTTGTCTGAACGATGAGTAGTCGATCGAGGTAGACTTAGGCGTGATGAGCACCTAAGAAAAGATACTAGAGACTGAAGCTGAGGGGGCTTCAGAGGGAAGTATGTTCGAGGGAAGATTGAGTAGATTCAAGTTAGGGAATCTAGTACAGAGTGACCGACTACTTATACTAAGTGGAAAGGGTTAAGGGCAAGGCTACCGTACTGTAGGTAAGGGCAAAGGGGAAACTGGAAAGGGTATAGGTACGCTGGTAGCAGAGCCTGATTAGTGATGTGAGGTCGAATGCGGAATGAGACCGAGAGACGTTGGAACGAGCCAATGGTAAATGATACAATGCGCAGCACGCATGAGTCAGAGGAAAGATAAGACAAGATAAGGAAAGCCACATTGGTGGCACGAGTCAGAACGAGTCATAGCCCGAAGGCACATGCGCACGTTGGTGTGATAGGAGGGGACAAGGGACGGGAACGGTCCCGAGGATCCAGTCAACGGATAGTCGGTAGAGAAGTACGAGCCGGAGGCATACGAGGGTGAGGACGAAGGGGAAAAATGATAGGGGGGCCATGTAGCCGATGTTACTTGTAACATTACCCCTGTTTCAAGGTAGAGTTCCATGAACTCTTTTAATTGTCGTCCAAGGGAACGTAGTCGTCCTGGTTGTTATACCACTCGGGGTCGAAGTCAAGGTCTTCGAGCCAGGAGGCGGCTTCGATTGCGTTCTCTTCGCGTTCTTGCTCAAGGCGAGCAGCGTCCTGGTCATACACAGCTTCGAGCTGGCGCATGTCCCTGTAGAACCGGTCAGAAGAGGTTCCACAGCGAAGGATCTTTCTGCCGTCAAGTCGAGGGCAGAAGGGGGTGAGATGTTTTTGGGGCAAATTGCCCACAAATGCGGCAGAAGTATTGCGCGCAGTGTTTCTGTTTGTGTCCAAAGACACGGCACTGGCAGCAGACAACATTGCTGTGGTAGACCTGGGTGGTCTCGGTGGCATCACGACGCGCATCGTTGATGGCGTCTTCCTGGGCTTCCTCGCGAGGATAGTGCCTAGTGAAGTTCTGGGTGCGCAGGCGATGCGCATGGGAGAGGGGTAGTCCTAGGGACAGGATGGATCGTGCACGAGCACGGTGATTTCGGCGTTGCGGAGTGGGAAGAGGTTCCGGAGAACCAATAGAAAGGTGTGGGACCACCTCAGTGGGTACCCAATCGTCGGGGTTGAGAACAGGTGGTTCGGGAGGGCACTCATCCAACTCCGGGATGGTGATAGAGATGGTGTCGACATCAAGAGTGGGGGAGGGGTTACGTGGAGCATAGAGCTCGCGTTCGTATTCTTCGTAGAGACGGTCGATCTTGGGGTTGGTCAGCTGGGTGACATTGGGGATATGCTCTGGTGATTCAGAGCGGGGTAGTTGGGGAAGGAAGGGGGTCGGAGCTCTGTCATAGACAGCACGCTCGACGACTGCAAGCAGGTCGGGAGGGGGATTAAATGCCCGCTCCTCCTCGACGGCCATGACAGCGGCATGGAAGTTCCTGAGCTCGAACAGATTTAGCAAGGCTCGCTTGATCTTGCCTTGGTTATATCTGATTGAGACGGTGGATAGGGAAGTTTCCCTAGCCAGGTCAATCCTAGCGATATCGCCGGTGAGGGTGTCGGTGGCCCTAAAGGCCTGGACGAGGTTCATGGTGATGTCGTCGTTGGTGCGGTTGAGATAGTTGTTGAGTCGAAGTGCATACTGGGGGTCGCAGATGACTGCTTCCCAGTAGGCCCGTTGCCTATCTTGGACAACTGAGCGAAGGGATGGTCGTCGGAAGACGGTGTATCCTGAGGGGGAGGGCCTATCATGGCCAAGCGTTGGCTGGCTCATCGGGTCACGGTCAGAGGCAGACACATGAGAGGTAGCGGATCGGTGCAAGGAAACAGACGACGCTGAGACCGACATAGTGAAGCGTCTTTCCTTGGGTAGTGGCGTAGGTGGGGTATTGGGTAATGGGTCTCTGTTTGTCGATAGGTTTGGGTTTTGTGGGGCGGTGGCAATTGCGGATTCGTTGGCGATGGAAGGTTTTGGTGTTGGTGTGGATGGGTTCGTCGGTGGGGTCAGCCCTCGTGTAGTGAGGGCGGTAGGAGAAGTTGCAGTGGCGTTTGTTGATCAGCATGAGATGGCGATTGAAGCGATCGTGAGTCACTTCTTATATGCCTTTAGGAGCTCCGCTGTGGACTTCAATTCTGTTTCGGGGAGCCACATTCGTTTGGAGGCAGGATAGCCAACCCAAGACACGAGGTACCGGCGACGCGATCCGGTACCCTTGTGTTGGAGGATAGCTTCCACTTCGTAGTGTTCCTCTCCATCGATAAGATCAGGAGGAGGTTCGGTAAAATTCGGTCCATGCACGTCTGTCTCCTGATAGGAGGAAAGTTCCGAGGCATGGAACGTGGGGTGGATACGCCAGCTGGCAGGTAGCTTTAGCTGGAATGTGATGGGGGAGAGGACTTTTTGGATTGGGAAGGGTCCATATCATTTCGGGGCGAGTTTCCTAGAAGGGAATCCGGTGATTAGGTTCATGGCAGATAGCCATACCTTATCACCAACGTTCCATGGCTTGTAATGCTGGCCATAGGAACGATCAGCCATGTGTTGCTGCGCGAGGCTGTGGCACGCAAGGGCTTCTTCGCGGATCTTGGCGAGTGACTTGACTCGGTTTTCGGCGGTTGGTAGGGTAGAGTCGGGGAAGAGATGGGGGATGCCTCGTGGTTCATAGCCCATCATGAGGTAGAAGGGGGAGGCATTTCTGGCGGAGTGTCGTCGGGAGTTATGAACGAATTCGGCCATAGGCAAGTGCTTTGCCCATTCGGAGGGAGTCGTCCGGCAGTAGATCCGGAGGTAGGTTTCAAGCTCTTGGTTGAGCCGTTCGGTCTGGCCATCTGTCTGCGGGTGGTAGGCAGTGGAAAGTGCGACTTGGTAGTCGAGGAGTCGTCCTAGCTCCTTTGCTAGCTTCGAGGCGAATTGGGGGCCTCGGTCCGAGATGATCTTGTCATAGAGTCCGAAGCGCATGAACACTTTCTTGAAGAAAAGTTCGGCTACTCCTTCCGCTGTGATGGTTTTTCTGCAAGGGCAGAGAATTACCCCCTTCATAAGCCCATGGTCTACCACAACCATGACAGAGTCGTAGCCGGCGCTCGCGGGGAGGTCGGTGATTAAATCAACCGAAACCTGAGCGAAGGGCCAGAGGGCCGAGGAGGGTATTGGGGTGAGAGGAGGTGTCGTGGGGTGGGTGTTAACCTTCATCTGCTGGCACATGGTGCAGCCATCGACATATTTCCTAATGAAGGAGCCCATTCCGGGCCACCAGTAGGATTTCTTGATGTTCCATTCGGTGCCCGAACGCCCGGGGTGCCCGGCGGTTGGGTGATCGTGATGCAGGGACAGCACGCGATGCCGGAGGTCGGGGGGAACGTAGGCACGATCTTTATAGAAGAGAACACCATCGGTGAACCTCCAATCGGAAAGTGCAGATTTCATGGGGGGTGCGCACACCCCGGAGAGAGCGTCCAAGGCTGTTTTCACAGTTTGGTCGGAGGAGTCGTCAGAGAGTCGTTGGAACTCGTCTGCAAGTTCAGCGTCAATTAGACGGGTGAACAGGGTATTGGGGAGAAGAACACAATCTTCGTTATCTTGACCAGCGATAGCGTGGTCAGGACGGCGGGATAAAGCATCCGGTGCAGCGAGCTTTGTTCCAGGAACATGGTGAAGTTCCAGGTCAAAGTTGGTGAGCGTGAGGTGCCACCAGGCCTGTCGTCGGGTGAGTCGTTGCGCCGAGCGGAAATAGATCAGATTCTTGTGATCGGTGAAAACGACGACCGGATGAGGGTTTCCTTCCAGGAAATGCCTCCAAGCCTGAAGGGCGCAAATGATGGCGAGGAGTTCCCGGTCGTAGATCTCAGTAGTTCCGTTCAGCCGCATTGAGGGACTGGGAGAGATAGCTGCAGGGGTGGTAATCCCCATTGCTATCTGTCTGGAGCAAGACTGCTCCGGTCGCGAAGAGCAAGGCGTCAGTTGCAAGTGCAAACTGTCGCGAGGAGTCAGGGTTCCGCAGAACCGGTTCGGTGGTG